GCCCCTCGGCCGCCCGCGGCCCCACAGCCGCCCGCGGCCCCACAGCCGCCCGCGGCCCCACAGCCGCCCGCGGCCCCACAGCCGCCCGCGGCCCCACAGCTGCCCGAGGCCCCTCAGCCGCCCGCGGCCCCTCAGCCGCCCGAGGACCGCAAGCAGTCTGCGGCCGCTGTGCCGCCGAGCCTCCCGGTCGCCACGGGGGTGGTTCTCGAGACCGGCGGCTCGCGGGCGGGGCCCTGAGAGATGGGACCCCAGGGACGAGAACCTCAAACAGCGTGTGAAGGTTCAGCCTGGGATCCAGTCACCGTCCTGCGCGCGAGATCTCGGCGCGGGAGCTCTTTCACCACGGGCGTTGTCGCCCGGCGCCGGGCCCTGGGACCCTCACAGACTGCTCCAGCTCGAAGATGGCACAGAATGGTAGGGTCCAGGGCTCCGGTTGCGTTATTTTGCGATGTCGCAGCTTTTAGCAACGTTGGATGTGAGGGCTCTTGGGACCCCATCCATATGGGCCCCGTCTTTGAACCGCCGATGAGAGGCTTGGAGGCTGACAGGACCTCCACCCTGCCAGGTCGATGATCGAATTGTTTTTTGTTGGTTCTCGCGGGTGTGTTGCGATCGCAATGTTTGCGAGCCTGTGGTTCTGGTCCTGGACCGCTTTCAACAGAGGGTGTTTTGCTAAAAGGGTTTCTGTCAACCCCCGAGAGGTTCGATTACTCGAGTCTGGGGCGCCAGGACAGCCCTTGTGAGAGGGTTCGCTTCTCCTGCGCATCTGCTGTTTTTGTGTTCTGCCCCGGCAACTGGGGGGGGGGGGGGGCATAGGTGGACAACGTCGTCTGGGTCAGTTACGATCGTCGGCCGTTGGCGAAGAGCTGGTACGTATAGGATAGCTGACACGTATAACAGGGAATGGTGTATGTACCTGGGGGATTCCCTTGCGGCGAGCGCCCCCTAGGTCATTTGAATGATTTGGATCTCGGACCCCAGTTTAGCTCGCAGAAGGCTGGTTGGCGCGTTTAGCAGCGCCATGTGTAGGCGACAGGCGAGCTCCAACTGTTGAGAGGGAAGTTCACCACCTCCCCAGGGCCACAGCCAAGTGCCAAATGGCTGCCAAACGTGTTGCTGACGGTCTCGAGTATTTAGCTGATGATATTTTCCGCGCGGCTGAGAACAGAGTGGTAGGTCTGTGCCAGCAAAGGCCCAATACACAATTCCTTCAAGAAGTTCGAGGTACATGTTGTAGCACCCCGCAGTTGCCTATAAGAGGGAGGGAGCGGGCGCAGGGTGGGTCGCGGGTGGGTCGCGGGCGGGTCGCAGGTGGGTCGCGGGACGGATCGCGGGGTGAATCGCGGGCAGGTCGTGGGTGGGTCGCGGGTGGGTCGCGGTGGGTCGCGGGCGGGTCGCGGGTGGGTCGCAGGTGGATCGCGGGGTGGGTCGCGGGTGGGTCGCGGGCGGGTCGCAGGTGGGTCGCGGGACGGATCGCGGGGTGAATCGCGGGCAGGTCGTGGGTGGGTCGCGGGTGGGTCGCGGTGGGTCGCGGGCGGGTCGCGGGTGGGTCGCAGGTGGATCGCGGGGTGGGTCGCGGGTGGGTCGCGGGAGGGTCGCGGGTGGGTCGCAGGTGGATCCCGGGGTGGATCGCGGGCGGGTCGCGGGAGGGTCGCAGGTGGGTCGCGGGTGGGTCGCGGGTGGGTCGCGGGGCGGGTCGCGGATGGGTCGGAGCAGGTCGCGGGTGGGTCGAGGGCCAGGTGAGGAGTGGGACGACGACGACAACAACAACATTCATGGTAAGATTGTTCGCTCTTCTCTTGTTCGCGTGCCATCCAACACGTAGTTCCCAAACACTCGATTCCCGTCCTCTGCGTCTTCGGTAGGATACGTGCCACGTAAAGTTCACACAGCCCGGAAGAGAGTAGCAGGAGGATGGCTAGGAGCGGAAAACACGTGGCAGAACCAAGCAGGCAGATCGGGCGGGCAGACCCTACCGGGCGTGTCGGGAAGGCGGGCCCAGGTGGCCAGGTCGAGCAGGCGGGTTGTTGAAGCAAGCATGCTGCATGAATCACGAGGAAGTCTTGATCGATAGCGCAATTCTCAAGTAGCTCATCCCAAAAACGGAACCATAACCTGATTCCTGAGTGTCGAGCGCGCGGCTTTTCAATAAGTTGCATAGAGGTGCCGCGCGAGAGCGCGATTAGTGCGTAAATTGCAAGGAAGCCCCGCGCAAGAGCTCAATTATCGAATCATTTGTGGGGAAGTATCCTGCGGGAGCCGTTGTCATTGTAGTTCGGTGCCTGACAGCGTATTCTGCGCCCGAATACTTCCCTTTGTAACAAACAATGTGCGAGCCGCGGGAGGAACATTCGAATGGAAGGGATCAACAATAACAGTCCAACGGCCTTCGGCCCATCCCGTCACCGTGCCCGGGTTGTGGGTATGAAGAGTATTGGATGTTCGTTGGGATTTCGTGGGGAGCCTCACGGAGGCCTCTTCGAGGCAGGTTGGATGCCTCTTGGTCGCCGTTTTACAGCCTCTTGGGGCCTCTTGGGCGCCTCTTGCGGCCTCCTTGGGGCCTCTCGGGGCGGAAGGCGTCTTGGGTCCCTCTTTGGCCGTTTTGGACGCCTCGCGGGCCGTCATACAGCTCTTAGGCAGTCTTGGGGCCCTTTTGGAAGCTTCTTGGGCCGTTTTGGGTCGGTCTTCGGGGCTTTTTGGGCCGTCTAGGAGCGTCGGAAAGAGGCCTCTTCGAGACCTCAGCGGCCGTCTTGGAAGCGTGTTGGCCCGTCTTCGGGCCATGTTGCGCGTCTTCGAGCGGTCTTGGGGTGATTGGGGCCTCTCTCTGACCATTTTGGGAGCCCCTTGGGCCATCTGATCTGGGTTGGTTTGGGGGACCTCCTGGGCGGGGTGGGCCGGCGCGAGAGCGCGATTGTGAACCAAACCGTGAGGAAGTATCCGGCGGGGGCAGTTATTGTTATAGCTCTTGGGCCAGCAGCGCAGTTTGAGCCGCAAGGCTTTCTTTTCTATGTATATATATATGTGAGAACTCTACCACATGAAGGATCCTGTTAAGGCTGCTCGTTCTGACCTGCTCGTGTGGCATCCAACACAAATTCTCCAAGCCCTTGATACTCACCCTCGTCGTCTTCGGTAGAACCCTCTTGGGGCATATCTTCCAGACCTGCCACGTGTATTTGGCGCAGCCCAGGACAGAGTAGCAGCAGGGGGAATGGGAGCAGGAAGCGCGTAGCAGAACCAGACGGGCTGACTGGACGGGTAGACCCTAGCGGGCGCGTCGGGAAGGCGGGCCCAGGCGGCCAGGTCGAGCAGGCGGGTTTGTTGAAGCGTGCGTCCTGCACGAATCGCGAGGAGGTCTCGAAAGATAGCACGATTCCCAAACCAATCATGAGGAAATCCCCAGCGACAGCGTGATTCTTCAGTGTTGTGGGCACGGCGCCGCAAACAAATGTGTGCGTTCGAATGGTTCCCGTACCAAAAACTTCAGACATATGTGGAACATCTGTGTTCTCGAAAAGTTATCTTGCCTGGCACATTGTCCTTAGGGGGCGTAGAATAAGAGAAGGAGCAGGACGGGGAGGGGCGTCCGTCAACATCTCTGGGGCATGTGTGCGTTTACCAGGCATCCGCGCCACAACCTAGAACACGTATATGGAACATGTGTGTTTCACTTGGTGTCCTAACCAAAACTTTGAAACGTATATGGAACGTATGTGTTGCCACCAGGCTGAAAACAGTACACCTCTTAACCCTCCAAACGCATATTCAGAAGCAGGACCCGTTTGCAAGGCCATCCACAGCGCTCTCGCTAGACGGTTCCCCCTTAGAGCCTTCAGAGGTTTGCGCAGTTCCTCCGTCTTCTCTTTCCTCCCTGTTTGTTATTGCTCCTGTTCCTGCTTGTTTCTTTTCTCCGTCTCTTCCTTCTCCTCGTCGGCCTCCTCCTCGTCCTCCTACTCCTCCTCCTTTTCCTCTCCCCTTCCTTCGGGCAACCTAATTATGGACCCCTCTGTGTCTAGCCTTTGACAGCAGACATTGACCAGTCGATTGGCAGACGATAGGGAAGCAACGAACGAGAGCATGAAGATGATGATGAAGACGACGACAACCTGTTCTGGAAGATGGCGTTCGTGCTTATTTCGATGCATCCTATCGCTAGCCCAATCAGGGCAGACAGTGCAGAACCGATTTGTGTTTATAATTACGTGGCTGGGGCTGGCGCAGGAGTTGCAGTGGAAGTTGCATTCGTGGTTGTAGCGGAATGCTTTTCAAAATCTGCAGTAGGAGTTGTGCTAGGAACGGCGGCTAATTTTGAAGTAGGGGTTGCTGGGGTAGGAGTTGCCGTAGGAGCTGTGGCGGGTGTTGTTCGCTTGGCAGCGACACTTCCAGTGGCACTTGTAGACACATTGTGGGGAAAGCTACTGTAGACATTGTAGTCAGATCTGTGACATGAGCTGTAGGGCGAGCTGCGGGAGCTGATGCACTGGTTGGGACATGGTCTGTAGTAGGAACTCCGAATGTGAGTTGCCCAGGAAAATGTATCACCATCCGTTGCAGGATTTGCAACATGAGCTGTCGCAAAGGCTGTTGTAAGAGTTGCATTGGGAGTTGCGGGGGTGCTGTGCTATTGGTTGCAATCGGAGATGAAATGTGATTTCTAGGAGCTGAGGTCGGGGGGTGCAGTTAGAGCTGCAGCGGGAACGGTATTTACCAATTGCAGTATTAAAGGTTGTGGCGAGGGTTGCTGATTGGTTGTGTAAGGGCATTTCGGTATGATCTGAAATACTAGTGAGAGCTGGGCTGTTCGATGTACCAGGAGTTGCTGCCCGAGTTGCATTCGGATGTCATGTGTTTGGAGGAGTAGCACTGCCCGTCGCCGGGCGTGTCGTGAAAATTGCTGGGGGTGTCGTGAAAATTGCCGTGGGAGCTGCACGAGTGCCTGTAGTCAGATTCGGAGTGTGACCTGTAGTGGAAAATGTGGAAGCGTTTGTTGTAGGAGTTGCAAGAAGAGCAGTCGTGAGACCTGCGCTGGTGGAAACATTCGGGGGCGTCGTTTGGATGTGACTCGGATCTGTGCCATTGGCACGAGTGCAAGATGAGGCCGGGGCTGTTGTAAGAGGGTCAGAGAAGCCCCGATGTAGGAGTTGCAGTGATAGCTGCGATATTCGCTCGAATATGACTTGCACTGGGAGCTGCAACTAGGGATGCTGTAAAGTTGCAGTAGATGTTGCAGCATGGACAGTATCAGTAATTGTGGTCGTTGATGTGGTAGGGCTTGTCAGACATGTACTACTGACTGCTGCTCATCTAAGAAGGAGCTGCAATGAGAGCTGTACTGAACTGTAGAGTTCTACGCTGCTGTTCTGAACTGTAGAGCTGTACTGATTTGTCGTAGGAGTTCTACGCTGCTGTTTGTGCAGCGGGGCGTGCAGGTCTGCTGCAATAGACACCGTAGCAGGACCTGGACCACTAGCTTCTCGTAAGAGCTGTATTATGACCTGTAGCGCAAGCTGTAAGATTGGCTGCGCTATGGTTTGTGGTAGGAGCTGTAAAATGAGCCGTGCAGAAAGTTCGACTAGTGAGTACTGTAGGACGCGTAGAGGGAGATTCAGGAACAGAGAAACGAAGCACATGCGGAACAGGGACAGGGGATGAAGACAACAATGAGGATGTGAGCAGAATATTCGATAAGAGCGAGGGTGGCAACGGAGGAAAAAAGATAAATCGAAGCCACCGAACACAAGGCAACATGCGTTTTCAGTTGGGAGGGGTGGGCATATGAACTTGCATTCATATATATATATATATATATACACACCCAAATCAGAGCTTGCCTCTGTAGGGGTCCTAGCGGATTCATATGGTTAGGTTAGGTTTGCTGCCGATTTTCGCCGCACGCCCGGGTGCCCGTGTGTCCGGGTGCATGGGTGCCCAGGTGCCCGGGTGCCCAGGTGCCCGGTAGCTCTATATAGCCCCATAGCCCTATAGCCCTGTAGCCCTATAGCCCTAACAGCCCTATAGCCTTATAGCCCTATAGCCCTATAGCCCTATGGCCCTATAGCCATACAGCCCTACAGCCCCATAACCCTATAGCCCAATAGCCCTATAGCCCTATGGCCCTGTAGCCCTGTAGCCCTATAGCCCCATAGCCTTCTAGCCCTATAGCCTTATAGCCCCATAGCCCTAAAACCCTAAAAAGATTATTATTGGGGCTCTTCTCCAGCATCATATATACATATATATGTATGTTTTAATGTATACATCCATACATGTTCGGCCGCGCGAGTGGTGTGGATCGTGCTGTTTGGTGATCGTCCCACCGTGCTGGCGAGCTGAGTGAACGCAAGCGATGCCTCACGCGAGCCTGGGCAGTCCACAGCGACGGGCGGCGTCCGCACCCTGGCGTTTGCCGATCAGGAAAGATCGGGTCGCTGTCGGTGGGATCATCTACCGCGCAATCATTGGCCGCGCATCGGATCGACGACGACGACGACGACGGAGGCGGCGGCGACGCCTCGGCGGCTCGGCCTCCACGGCGCCCGCTGGAAGGGCCAGTCGGTGCGCGTCGGCGCTCGATGGCGTGACCGGTCCGTTCGTCCACCGACGACTTGGAAGCCGTTTGCGCCAATCCTGCGGGGTCCGATCTCTCTGCTCTGGGATCGGCGGCCTGCGGAGTCGTCGTCGTCGTCGTCGTCGTCGTCGTCGCTCTTCGCTCGTCGCTCGTCGCTCGTCGCTCGTCGCTCGTCGCGCCGCGCGCGCGGGCGCGGCTGCGGTGCCAGAGCCACACGGCGGGGGGGGCGTTATGTCATACCCCCCCTTGCCCCCCCACCAATGACGCCCGTCATCGCCAAACATAAAGAAACGCGCTCTTACACGGTCTGGTTCCGTCGTCATGTCGGCACCCGCTTCTCCCAGGTTGAGGGGCGAAGTCAGGGGTCGATGTCCAGGAAACGCGCGAGGATTGTTCAGATCATACTGTCCTGTCGGAAGTATCGTCGAATTGTCTTGCGAAGTCCGACAAAGTTCGATACTTGCAGCTTTGCGCAATCCTGGTCTTTCCAGGTGCCTCGCAATCAATCTTGATGCGACGTGGCTGACGTTTTCATCGACGTCGTGAACAGAGCCAAAGCAAGTCAGTCGGTGTCTTCGCCTGCTTGATTGGCTTGATACCAGGACCAATCGACTCAAAAAACCGAATCTGTTCCTGTTCGAGGAGCTTTCTATCGACCAGGCTCGCGGGCCGCGATTCGAAACCCTAGGTGTTGCCTGGGACTTTCGAGTCACAGCATGGAAGTATCTCCGAGCGCATGCTGCCAGGAGGATGGACGGTCTTCCGTTCTTACTGCGCCAGGCTAAGGCAGAAAGGCGCGCGTGCTTGCTCCACGGGGGTGGTCGGCCTGGATGGAATCCCCATGCGATGTGAGAGCAACCTCCTTGGGAGTTCCCGAAGTCGGCGACGCGTCCAGGCAGATGGGCCAGGATTGTGCAGAAGGCTCAGAAGGCCTTCAGCCTTGTGAGGAGTTGTATGCGCCTTCTCCGAAGCCCCTCCTCCTTCTGAGAAGACCTGCCCCCTCTCAGTTACCCCCTAGGCGCGCAGCCGGCCTGGAGATCCGACGTCACAAACAAATACAACATTGCAGAGGACCCGACCAGTGTAATGAGCCCCATCTGTCTGCTGCATGTTTTTCCAGCGATAACGATTCGTGATGGTCCCGGGGCCAAACACACGGCAGGATCGCCGATCGCGAAAGCATTGTGACACCAGGGTCTGACGGGACGAAGATTGTTCGATCAATTGCATCATCATATTAGAAATCTGCATCACCAACAAAATCAGAATCTTCCTCATCATTGCATGGGACAAGGACTGTTCGATCAACTTCTCCAAGACATAATAGACAGACTCGCTCGATGACCCCTGTGTCCCACTGGCGGGGTGGCAGGGCACCGTGGACGGGCAGCCGGCGGTGTGGCACTCGTACGTGCACACGGACCCCAAGGAGAGGAGGTTCTCTGCGTCCTGGTCGCCTCCTCCTCCTCCTCCTCCTCCTCCCCCTCCTCCTCCTCCCCCTCCTCCACCTCCTCCGGTTCCTCCTCCTTCTCCTTCTCCTTCTCTTCCTCCTCCTCCTCCTAGTCCTCCTCCTCCTCCTCCTCCTCCTTCTCCTCCTCCTCCTCCTCCTCCTCCTCCTCCGCCGTGTCATCCTCCCCCTCCTCCCGCTCCGCCTCCCCCTCCTCCCCCTCCTCCCCCTTCTCCCACCCCCCCCCTCCCCCTCCTGCTCCCCATCCCCCTCTCACTCTGCCCATTTCTCCTCCCCCTCTGACGGGGTCCTCTTCTCCGTTCAGCAGGCCTCTGCGGCCCGACCGCCTCCACGACGAGCCTCCCAAAGCCCTTGCCACTGCGGTCGCGATGCTGACACAAGGACCCCTTTGGGTTCACGAGGGACTCTGGCTTTTGGGGCCGTTCCTCAGATCTGCGTCGGGGCGTCTACCCGTGGCCGCCGAGGCTCGCCGTGGCCAGAGAGACCATTTGGTTCCTCATTCGGGGTTCCTTTTGGCAGCACGATGACTGCACCAAGGCATCGGGCATCTGTCCTGGCGGGCCGGAACGAGATCGTGGTCCCCAGGGGGCCAGGTCGCCTATTTGAAGTCTCCAGGGGCTCCGCCCTCCATCCACATCCGCCGTCGCGCGCCAGCTCGTGTCTATCTATTTCTCGGCCCGTCGACGCCACGTCTGGGATCCGCTCGAGAAGCTGGCGGAGGCGGAAGTGAAGCCGGAGTGGAGCGCCGAAGTTCGAGCAGACTTCGCCTGGACGCCAGAAATTAGCATCTACTGGTACCGGTGGCCCTCTGGAAAGGGAGGCGTCACCCGGACGCTAAACAGTACCATCAGCTGGTGTTGGTGGGCCGTGGGTGGCTCGCTGGGGGGAACGGGGGGGCGGCCAGCGTCCCCCAGCTCCACCGCAGGGGGGCGCGAAGAGGGCCGCCCTCCGCGGCGTGCGGCGTTGGCCGGAGACCTGCTCCTCTCCGGATGGCGGCGCGGGAGCGCGAAGATTCGGAGGCGAATAGACCTCCTACCCTTTTTAGTTCGCTGAGGGGCAGCGCACGCGGTCTGTGTTTCTGGGGCGACGGAGGAGGAGGTAATGCTCGTGGCGTAAGAGCAAACCTTAGCAGCCCAATCGTTAGTAAGAGCAAACCTAGGGTCCGAACTTGTCGCGAATGGGTGTCGTAAGGATTGTTATTGACGGATCAAGCGCGCCGGCTGAGCGTATTGGGATCTGGCCTTGGAAACAACGCTGCCCCCCAAGCGACCTCCAACCTACCCCGACACGTCGATTAAGGAATTGGCCGTTTTCGGTTCGCGAGAGGGCGTCGCGGCCGTCATTTTTGCGGGTCCAGGTCCGTCGGTTTCGGTCCCAGGCCGTGTTCACGAAGGGGAGGTTTGCTAAAGGGAGGTTTGTCCACCGCCGAAATATGACCGCGCCCAGCGCTTCGAGCGGCGAAGGGCGCGGGGGCGGGCGTTCAGGATCTGGGGCGTCGGCGCCTCGCCGGGCACGATGGGCCTCATTCTCGGCCGGCACGGGAGCCAGCACCGCGGGCAGAGGGGTGAGGCGCGGGGGCCTCGGCTATACTATACGCAAGAGTGGCCCTGGGCAAGAGTGACCTTGGGTGCGCGGCTTTGTGGGGGGCCGCGGGGGGGCCAAACCTGGGCGCGCAAGCAGCTGCTACTGTTTCGTTTTCGGCCATCTGGGGACCCATCTTTCGTGCCCGCACCAAAGGTCACTCCTGCGAAAGGTCACTCTTACGTCCAGTCGAGGGGGGCGAGAGGGACAGGGAACAGGCGTCGGTCACGGCGGGTGCGGGGCCGTGGACACAGGCCCCCTGGGAGACGGGCGGGGGGGGGGAAGGGGCGCGTGAGGCGTCGGCAGAGGGCGGGAGAAGGATAAGAAGAGAGATGTGAGAGGCCAGGTCACTTTTCGCCGAGCGCGTCCCTCTGCTCGCAGAGTGCCTACTCGCAGACGTCCGACAAATAAAAACACGCTCGCCTCGATGTAATATATCGTAAATCCCCACGGCGGATCCGGGCCATTTGCGAGTAGTGACTCTGCGAGTAGCGGAACGCGCTTGCCTGATTTCCTGGGGCCCGAGCTGGATCGCGCGTCACGGTCTGAGATAGGGAGCTGTCCTTCCCCAGGACGCCGCGCAAGAGCGCGAGAGTGAGGTGACACGTAACGCGTAGGGAGAGGCCCGCAGGCGGGCAATATGAGGGGATGGGCGGGGGCAGGCCCTGGCGGGGGGTCCTCCGAGGGGGGATGCGGCACAGCCTCCCTTCCGCCACGAGGCCCCCTCTTGCTCTTCCCCAGAGCGCTGTTCCACAGTATGCCATTCGATTCTCCAGCGGCGGCCGCGCCGCCGCTGGAAGCCAGTAGTGGAGCCAGCAACAATTTGTAAGCTTTCTAGTTTCCGAGTCGACCCGCACCGAGCGCTCCGGTCGTTGAGCTAGCTCCGAGCCAGGCGCAAATCGGAGACTAATCCCGTTCCCCTTGCTGTTCTTCAGAGGAGCATGAAGTATTGATATTGATAGTTTTCCAGATTTCCAGGTTTTCCTGTTCTTCCGCGGGGGCTCCAGGGACGAATGGTCGAGCGCATTCCGTCGCGCAGGTTTTTTGCGTGATGTTCGCGGTGCGTTTTTCGCGCACCGGAGCGCCTTCGAAGATTCCAAGCTGCATGCTGTGTTGCTTTTGGGGAGTCCGCGAGTCGCAGCTGCCGTGGCGCTGTTTTCGAGGTAGCCCCTTCGAGTGCTGTTCGCGGGTGCACCGCGCGGCGCGCGCTGCGCCCAATCGCGCGCGGCGCGGCGCGTGAATCAGCCGGCCGCGCCCGTCGGACCGCCCGGACATTATTTCTGGATTGTAGAGTGTGTCAGAAAACGCTTCCGCTTTTTCCGCGCAAGCGGTTCCGGAATTTTTCAAAAAAGAAGCCCGGAAATTTTCAAAAAACAGTTATGAGGGGTGGAATTCGCCCGCCGCGCAGGACATCTGAAGAGTTCCGAAATCCGGAAATTTTCAAAATGGATTCCGGAATTTTTCAAAATCGATCCCGGAAATTTTCAAAAACGATCCCGGAAAATTTCAAAAAGTAGGCCGGACATGTTCAAACATGATCCCAGATTTGTTCAATTTTACCCCCGGGCTATTTTCCAGAGTCGAGCATGCTTTGCCTTGCCAGGTCTTTGGGAATCCGCCGAGGCGCGCGGTGCGCGGCGGCGGGCGATGGGACGGTGCGCCACCGTCCCCTCCGCGCTCGGCAACGAGAGGGGGGGGTCAGCAATTGCCAAATTACTCCAGAAGCCTCGAGAGACCTCGTCGTTATCTGTCATTTAGGGTAGGGGGCCCCCAGAGTGCCCCACGGCCACTACAAAACAGACGAGCTGCCCCCTAGGTACCGTCTGGTGACGGCCAGGAAGAGAGGGGCGGCGGCAGGCGCCGTGGCGACAGCCACTCCAACACGCCCAAGTCTAGGATAGTGAGTGTCGGCACGCCCAGACGCATCCCCCCATATCATCATAGGTCAGGTGTGCCTACCCCGAAAAATTGCCATCAATTCCATCCTGACCGTGGCTACGAACCCAAACTTCCTCAACTGGCGGAGGCTCGACCTCTGACATCGGAGACGGGATGAGGCCTCGCAACCAGTAGCATTCTAAACTCTCAGACTCGTTCAAGGCACCGGGGGGGGAGCGTCGGAAGCGCTGAAAGCTGGACTTTCCGTATTACATTCACATGTCCAGAATCTGTGGGCTGGGGTCTCTGGTCCCCCTCCACACCAGCTACATGCGCTCGGGATGTCATATCCGAGCGCACTCTTCCTGGCTGCAGGCCAAGCTCCGCCAACAGCAATGCACAGCATGAGCTCTGAGAGCTTGCGGCCGCAGCCAGGCAGCTGCTCGAGCTGAAACAGGAACTAGCGAAGCGAGAAATTGAGAGAAGGGATGGAGGAGAGGGGGGAATGGGTATGTACTCTTCCCTACTCCCTCCTCCCCCCCAGCGAAGCACAAGGAACCTTCGGAGCCCACCAGGAAACCAATCTTACAAAAACCAGGATACCTCCTCCTCCTCCTCCTCCTCCTCCTCCTCCTCCTCCTCCTCCTCCTCCTCCTGCTCCTCCTCCTACTCCTCCTTTTCCTCCTCCTCCTCGTGTTTCCTCCTCCTCCTCCTCCTCCTCGTCCCCCCTCTCTGCATCCCTCCTTCCTGCCCTTCTCCGCTTTCCTCATCATCCTGCTCATCCTCCTACTCGTCCTCATACTCATCCGCCACCTCCTCCGATGCACACATCTCCCGATGCTGCTGGCGCAAAACGCGACGGCATCGTTGTGGAGTGCCAGGCCTGGCTATGAAACCCATCGACGGATGTAGGAAAAGCTAGCGCAATGGAAAGGGATGGGTGGGAGGAGTAGGATAACAGGTGCTGCGCGAGCGCACCTGGCTTGTCCCCTGCCCCTCTCCTTCCCCTGCTGGTCGAGCTGCGTCCTCCGCCGCCCCCCTCGGGGCGTCTCCCTCCGCCGCCCCCGTCGGGGCGCCCAGCCCTCGTCGCCTCCCTCAGGGTGCCCGCCTTCCCTTAGTGTCCCGGGCGGGAAGGGCGCGCTCGCCTCGCGGGCAGCGCCTGCGCAGCTGCTGGGCGCCTCCCAAGCTGGTGAGCGGTGCCTCGGCAGCTCCGGGGCGGAGGTCGCGCGCGCACCGGCGCCCCGCCGCGGGGCGACGAGGCAGGCGCGGCTCCCCCGTGAGGCCCCGGAACGGCTTCGCGGAGGCGATGCTTGGCCGGCGGAGACCGGGCACGCGCGCTGGGCACCCGCCCCACGGCCAGAGCCTCGGTTGGGACAGTGTCGCGCCTGCCCTTACGCACGGTATCGGCAACGGCGCGTCACACCAGGGCGCGTTTGGCACAGATATCCAGGAGGCGGAGAAGAAGAAGGAGGAGGAGGAGGTGGAGGAGGAGCAGGAGGAGGAGGAGGGTTGCGTTCGAGTCACATTCCGAAGCAGCCGACAGCGACAGCGAGAGGAGGAGGGGAAGGAGGAGGAGGAGGAGGAGGAGGAGGAGGAGGAGGAGGAGGAGGAGGGGCAAGGGGATGGGACATGGAGAGGGAAAAAGCGGAGGAGGAGGAGGACGAGGACGAGGATGGGGGAGGAGAAAGAGGAAGGAGACGAAGGGGAGGAGGCAGGAAAAACGGAGAGGGCGAGGAGGGCCAGGGTGAGGAAAAGGGAGAGCAGGAAGAGGAGCTCTCTTAGGAGGAGGAGGAGGAGGAGGCGTGCGTGCGGCGCGCAGCAACAGCAGGAGGAGCGCGAAGAGGAGGAAGCAGGAGGAGGAGGAGGAATAGGAGGAGGAGGAGGAGGAGGAGGAGGAGGAGGAGGAGGAGGAGGAGGAAGAATAGGAGGAGGAGAAGGAGGGGGAGGAGGAGAAGGAGGAGGAGGAGGAGGAGGAGGAGGAGAAGAGGAGGAGGAGGAGGAGCCCCCCCTGGCGCTCGGAGGACAACCCCTCGGCGGACGTCGCCTCGACGGAGGGGTTACCCGCGGACCGCGAGGGGCAGTGGGAGCAGGCCAGCCCGAAGCCGAGGGGAGAGGCGGCAAGGGAGGGGGAGGCCTCCACAGTCCCCGGACTCCAGCCTCTCGAGAAATTCCCGTGGGAGGCTCCGAGGGGCCTGCCCCGGGCGACATCATGATGATCGGGGACGACGAGCATGTCTCCCTGGGCGGTCGAGAGCTCGGGGGACCGCGCACCCCAACAAGAACACGACATCGGATTTATAAGGATCAGAGCGTGAATTACCTACCCCGCTTTCGCTTCCAGGCAAAACCAAGTCATACCACGCGCCTCCTCGTCAAGCGGCCTGACCAATACAGGCCGTAGTTTGGCATCGTTTGGTATCTCTTGGAAGCGAGGGTGGTCAAAAGCGATGTAGGTTTGTTTGCCTCCTAAAGGAGGATGGATCGGCAGTGAGTTGTCGCTGGATGGCCCTGGCCCGCCGCAGACCTCCGAAAGCCTCCAGAGGCTGCGGGGCACCTCCGAAGCTCTTTGGAGGCGCTGCCCTCGTCCTCTTCGGTGCAGCTTCCAGGCGTGTCGACAGAGCGGGCCAGGAGGAGGAGGGGGAGGAGGAGGAGGAGGAGGAGGAGGAGGAGGAGGAGGAGGAGGAGGAGGAGGAGGATGGGCCGACAGGCCGTCTTCCCACCTCCGCCGCGCCCTGCTGCGTCCGCGCCGCGTGTCGACAGAGCGTATCGGTGGGGTCGTCTTCACAATGAATATTCTCGCCAGAGTTGGGAAACGAATTGACATACACAGTTGTAGATGATGTGAAGAGGGTCCTCTCGGGCCACTTGCCCTCACCTAAGCCCTTGGGGGCTGGACGGAGAACGAGGGAGAAGAGGAGCAGGACGAAGAGGGGGAGGAGGATCGGCAGCGGACGCATTCATGCCATCACGAGTCGAGCCGAGGAGGAGGGGAAGGGAGGGAAGAAGGAGAGAGGGAGGGAGGAGACGCGGCAGAACTACGAGGCGGCTTCATCCCGCCTGCCGAGTTGTTCTCCGCCCCTATCCCTCACTCCTTCTCCATACCTGCGGAGTCCCAGGGCCGCGCCAAGGCAGCCTCCAGAGACGGACCTGGTCGGCCGCAGCAGGCACACAGCGTGGCCCGCGGCAGTCTCTGCGCCGGGCGGCGCCCCTCACGGCGCTCCGCGCACTGGGCCTGCGGCGCCCGAGGGACCCCTGGGCCAGCGACCCTGCGGGACTGGCTGGGGGCGACCAGGGCCGACTCCGTGAGCTGTCTGTGCGCAGCCTCGCACCGTGGCATCTCCGCTACCCCTGGGTCGCACACAGGGCCTCGCGGAGGCTCATCCGCCCCGCCCGCCTCTCCCACGAGGCCCATTGGCTCTACAACGACGACAAGCTGATCGTCGACGCGCGGCCCAAGAGGCCAGCCGGGCGCGAGAGCTGCTAGTGGTCCGAGGGGGCAGCGCAAGAGCTCGCGCCCACGGCCCGGGAGGGTGCTGCGCAGGGGGGAGGCCCGCCTGGGGGCGCCAGCGACCCCCCCTCCCCTCCATCCTGGACGGGCCACTCCTGGGGCCCCAGGCTGGCTTGGCCAGTATCGGAGTATCGGAGTACGCTTGGTGTTTGTGGGGGTCTGAGGTGGCCCAGCATTGGTTCTGGCGAGCAGGAGGGTTCTTTTCTTGTAACAGATGTTCTCAAGGTCCCCCCGGTTCAGACCCCCCGGGCGCCTCCAACACTTCTGGGCCCCCAGACTGGCTTGGCCAGTATCGGAGCAAAGTTGGCGTCGTCCTACATCGGGTCGCGTGGTCCTACTCCTGGCCGTGGCCCGGTCCTTCGGGCGCAACTGCCCGTGCGGGGCTGGCCTCGAGCTCTCTAGACTCCTCGCGCCGAGCTTCGCGGCAGGCTCGGTCCGTTCGTGGAGCTTCGCTGCCCCTGGGTTGCGGGGCGAGGAGGCATCGGAGGCATGAAGGGGAGAGGCGGGGAGGGGGAAGGGAGGGCAGGGAGGGGAGGAGGAAGATGAAAGTGTGCGGTGAGGGAAAGAGGGCGGGGGAGGGGAGGAGGGGTGGGGCGGCATTGTGTGGGGAGGAGGTCCGCTGGCAACTGACGCCTAACGGATCGAGGCGAATAGCAATGACGACGGGAGGGGGGGGGCAAGATCAGGAAGGCAGCATCGCGATGTCACGATGGGTGGCAGACCAGACCTACGAGATGCGTGAGGGGGCTCAGGCGACAGAAATGGGAAAGGCACGTATGGTGACTCGAGTGAAGTTGCGCCGCGTGGGGGAGAGTGGTTTAACAGGCTTGGAGTGTCGGTGAGCATGTCCCGTTCGATACTTGAGTTTTGCGGATCCACAGACGGTCGCATGCAATATATATATATATATATATACACATATATATATGTGTGTGTACACACGCATGCGAATATACATATGTCATATGCGTTCGAGTATCCGTGCGCATATAGAACGCGTTTCCAGATGAAGGCCATGCAGCGCGTGCGCGAGTCTCTAAAACCCGCGTCGCTTCATAGGAGGCGGACGACGGGTGTAAGAATGATGATGCTGATGCTGATGCTGATGCTGATGCTGATGATGATGATGATGATGATGATGATGATGATGATGATGATGATGATGATGATGATGTACCGCTGACGCTTGGTCAGTGTGCGGTTAGGTATGGCCGCAAGGAGGAAATGGCAAAGAGGAGCAGGACGAGCAGGAATTGAAGCGGGAATCGATCTTTCTTGCCAGGGGACCCGGGAGCGGCGGCATCTTGGTGGCATTCGCGATCTTGTTGGACCACAAGCTCGGCGCAGGTTGGGGCAAGAAGGGCAAGGCGCCAGCGCGATGAGAGTTTCCCATGATCTGCAGGTGTTGCCTTTGGCCAGGGTTCTCGCCATGCCCTATAGTTGTACTAATTCAATCGGTCCCCCTACAGCCGGCCCAGATTAGTAGGTCGACCCTGCTAAGTCAAGGGTGCCCTTGTGTCCTGTGTCTCGCCACCCGTGCCTCCTGCATTCCTGTGGCAGTGTGCCCCTCGGAAAGGGTCTTTTATCCTCTCGCGTGTCCTCTCCAATCAAGTCCGACTGTACCCCCCCTAGAGAAAACTGATCTGGGACAGCTTCGGGCCCAGGGCCCAAGACGGCCCCAGATGGCCCCAAGACGGCCCTGGAGGGCCCCAGGCCCAAGAGAGGCCCATGACGGCCACTCGACGGCCGAACGGGCTCCCAGGGCCCGAAGACGACTGCCAAGAGGCCGCCGGGAGGCACAACTTAGAGGTGTTCCTCTCGGTCTCGATGCCATTTTCGCATGTTCGACTTCTCGGTCTCCAGAGCGCGCGAGACGGCCGAAGAGGCCAGTAGGCGCCCAAGACGAGCCCAGGACGGCCCAAGAGGGGCCCAAGACGGCCCCAAGATGCTCCAAGAGGGCGCAGCCCCCCCCCCAGACCGCCTCAGAATAGCCCCACGAGGCCCCCAAGATTGCCCAGAGGGACCACGACGGCCCCAGAGGGCCCAAAGACGGCCCAGGAGGCGCTCAAGACCGCTTGAAAACGGCATCATGAGACGCCGAAAAGGCCCATTCGGGACCCTGCATTAGTATTGCGACGACCCGAACATCAATTTGTAGCTCTCTCTCTCTCTCTCTCTCTCTCTCTCTCTCTCCCCCTCTCGCTTTCTCTCACTCTCTCTATGTATGTATATATATATATATATATATATGGATTGTCTCTCCCTTCTGTTGTTGGTAATTTGTTTGTTTCTCTCCCTCTCTCTCAGTGTATATGTAGTTATGCATGTCTCGTTGTCTCTCTCTCTCTCTCTCCCTCCCTCTCTCTATATATATAAATCCATACACGCACACCTGCATATATGTATGTATGCATGCATGTATGTATGTGTGTATGTATGTATGTGTTTTTGTATGTATATATATATATATATGTGCATGTATGTATGTGTGTGTATGGACGTATGTATGTATGTGTGTATGTGTGTGCATGTATGTATGTATGTAAGTAAGCATGTAAGTATGTAAGTAAGTAAGTACGTAAGTAAGTGAGTATGTACGAATGTACGAATGTATGTATGTATGTATGTATGTATGTATGTATGTGTGTATGTATGTATGTATGTATGTATGTATGTATGTATGTATGTATGTATGTATGTATGTATGTATGTATGTATGTATGTATGTATGTATGTATATGTGCGTACGTGTGTATGTATGTATGGTTATGGCTGTTTGGTTGCATCCTTTCCTTATCGAAGACGTCTACGGCGAATCACCGCCGGCCTCTGCCTTTTTGAAACGCCCACGCGGCCAAACGTTGAGCCGAAGTCAGGCCAAGCTTTTGTACTGTGTGTTCCCCCCTGGGGGGACACTTGGGAGAGGAAGAGGGGGAGGATAGGGATGAGGAGGAGAAAGAAGAAGAAGAGGTGGCCTCTTGAGGCCGTCTTGGGGCCTCCCGGGGGGCTTCCTGGGAGCCACGTGGAGGCCTCCGAAGATCCTCTTGGGGGGCTCCTGGCGCCTCTTGAAAGTCTATGGGACCGTCTTGGAGGCCTCTTGGGCCCTCTTGGGCCGTCTTGGGGCACTCTTGGGCCATCTCGCGGGCCTCTTGGGGGCCTCCTCGGACGGCATGGGGCGCCTTGGGGTGATCTTGGGGGCCAATGGGGCCGTCTTTGAGCGCTGGAATCCCGAAAAGGCGAGAACGCCAAAACCATTGTAGAACCTTTGGGATATCAATGCTATTGGCCTCCTGGAGTTTCTCTTAGAAACCTCTCGGGCCGTCTTGGGCCATCTTGAGGCGATGTTAAGCCGCCTTGGGTGCATCTCTGGCCGTCTTGTGCGCATCTTGGGCTTTCTTGGGGCCATCTTGGCCGTCCTGGAGGCGTCTTGCGACTGTATTGGGGGCATATTGGCCGTCTTGGGGCATGTTTGTTGTGAACGTTGGGGTCGTTCTGGGTATTTCCGCGCGGCCGGCGGGTTGGGCCGAGACCCCACTGGGAGCATGTGAGCAGGAAGGAACCACTCGAACGTCCACCGTGCAGCCCCGTGGCAAGCCACAGGGTGCGGCGGATCTAGTGGCCTTCGGCCCATCCCGCCACCGCGCCTGGGTGAAAGATCAGAGGCATCTTGGATGACTGTGGGGATCTCTTGGAAGGCCTGTCGGAAGCCTCGTTGAAGCGGTTTGGGAGCGTCTTGGGTCCCTCTTGGGGGCCTCTCGCGTGCCTCTTGGGACCTGATTGGGGCCTCTTCGGGGCCTTCCAGGGCTTCTGAGGAGTCCTCTTGAGATCGTGCAGGCGGTCTCGGGGGTCAATCTCGGGGCGGAGGGCTCGAAACGTTTGTCCGAGTTCCCCCTTCTGGGGCGCTCTGGGGGGCCTTCTGGGCCGTCTTGGGGCGATCTTGGGGGCATATGTGGCCGTCTTGGAGCGTCGGGAGCCCGACAAAGCCAGAACGCTTAAATCTGTCACAAGTCATGGGGGATCGCATATTTTCCTAAGGTTTTTGCAGCCGGGGGGGCTTATTGGGCCGTCTCGAGGCAATCTTGGGTATTTGGGAGCGCGTTTAGGCCGACTCGGGGCTCTCTTGGACTGTCTTGGGGGCCTCTTGAGGCCCTCTTGGCCAATCTTGGGGGCCACTGGTTTCCAACAAAGTCTAGCAGGAACACGCGCCGGCACGCGGCACGACCTAAGAGTTTCGTGAGTTTTGGACATCGATCTTGGAACTCCCGTTCCTCAGCACTGAGGACGGAGGGCTCAAGCGACCTGAGGACACTCCAACTCGTGCCTCGAGGCACGATGGCGGATAGCATGCCAACACAATGAGAGTCCAGCAAAAACTTGGAGCACTGGTATAATCTGCCTTTGGAGGTTGAAGGTTGGGTCTGTTCGTATTATGGTAGATCTAATGTGGATGGAGCGTGGTAGTGCCAAAGTCGGCTTGAGCTTTGTGCGTAGCCACTTTGGCTCAAGCACCCTCTTGCCAGGTTTTCGATCGATGTCACTGTGGCAAAGTGGCAAAGCATTTACGTACATCTACAAACTTGATTCGCATCTCACTGAAAGTTGTTGATCCTAAGGTCTGAGAGGAGCACATGGCAAGGACGATGGCCTCGGTGTTCGTGGCCGCCCTGGCCTTGAATGTACCCGTCCGTGTGACGGCAGTTGCCCAGGGCCTGCGAGCGGAACAGAGATTTCACACCGCCGAGCATGCGCAACCAGAATGGACGAACCGCTTGCAGATCTTCCGAAAGTTCATGAAAAGCACATCCGACACAGTGTCACACTGGAAAGTCGAACCCGCACAGAATACAGACAGGGTCGCTGTGACCATCCTGCAGCCAGCTACCCCAGATCACATCGCGCAAATGGCCTACGTCATTCGTTCCAATATGCATCGGCTCGGCCCACGCTGGGCACTGCAGGTCTTCTACGGCTTCGACGACGAGATGGAAGATCTCAACGAAGCACTCGGGAATCCGCAGGGTGTCATCTGGTCCCACATGGTGCTGCAGGGGGAGCGGCGACTGTCCCTTGACCATGGCGAGTGCAGCTGGTTCCGGCTCTCGGACGGATTCTGGGGCGCGCTGCGTCCCGAGCACGAGCACGTGCTGGTCTTTGAGTCGGACAGCCTGCTGCGCAGGCGCGGCTGTGTGGAGGAGTACGTCGACAAGGACTACGACTACGTTGGTGCGCCATGGGTGAAGGATTCCGTTTGGGGCGCTCCTGCCTTGGGGGGCAACGGAGGTTTTTCGCTGCGAAGGCTGTCCAGCATGCTGGCAGCGATCCGGAGTCCGGAGATGGCCAAGCTGCTGGGTGAGTATTCTGAGCTGTTCTTCGGGAACGAGGACCTTTCTTTGGTGGAGCTCCTTCTCAGGAGAAACGCGACGTTTCCGCCACGCGAAGTAGCCACAAGATTTTCAGTGGAGACTGTATTTTACCCCACGCCCTGCGCCTTTCACAAACCGTGGGCGTATCTCGACGAGGATTCCGTGCAGACTCTGATGACCAACATCGACATGGATTGAATGGCGACGCGCGGCTGCTTGGGGGGGGGCGGATAGGGAGTAGGAGGATGAGGAGGAGGAGGACCAGTGTAATCCCAAGACTCTCGAAGATCTTGCAATAGATCCTCCCTCCAAGTTCCCTCTTCCTTTTCATAGGCCCCTATGAATATTCGCTTTCACTCAGGAAGTGCCCCGTTGGAAGACAACCGTGAAAAAATCTTGAACTGTCCCAGAATACCATTCCTGGGATTTCAACGCCGCGAATCACCCGACTTCGTGCCGAAACGCAATTTTTGGTATGCCAACAATGGGAATCCTTGAAACTGCTGTAAGCTGTTAAAACGGATGTGCGCGGCGTTATGGCGAGAGCCAAACTTTGAAAAGGAGCCGCCCTCCATCTGTGAAGTCCCTTCCTACTCTTAAGGTGAATGCGCGCGGCACTACGGCGAGAGCCACATTGTGAAAATAGCCCGCCCTCCACCCGTGAAACTGTTGCAATTATTCAAAGCGAATGCGCCCGGCGCTCAGGCATGTGCCACATTTTGAAAACCAGCCGCCCTCCTTCCATGAAATTGTTGCACGGATCAAGCTCCGTGATCATTAATGAGGACGAAACCTCAGATGAAACGCCCGGCCCGCTCTTTCGACCGGCCACGGGGTGCGACAGGCAGGAATTATTCATAAGGCAAAGGAATGGAGGAGGAGGGTAGTGGAGCAAGGTCCGGGTAGTCTGAGTAGCGTACGATGCCGCATGTGGACGCACGTTCCACTCACGGTCCAGTGGCGCCAATTGCACTTGGCTTTCTGTTATTCTAGGTGTCATCCTGGGTGGCATCGCGAAGAAAAATGGGGGCTCATCCACTCGCACCCCGCTCCACTCCCTTCGAGACAGAAAACAAGGCTCGGAGCCTTCTGGGAACGCTCTTGGGGTGATTCTGGAGGCCTTTGGAGCCAGCTTGGTGCATTCTTGAGGCCGTCTTGGGGCCGATGGAGGGCTCGGAAGTAAATCAGAAGCAAACGCGCGATAAGTTTGTAATACGCACACATGCACACATGTCTGACTTTGTTTGCTCACATCGCTTCGCCTCATCATCTTATCCTCATCCCCATCCATTGCGAGACAGTGTGCGAGTCCCGCTTTTGGGCGCAGGAAGCCAATGAGCGCAAGAAGCCAATGCAAGCATGCTGGATTATTCCGCCTTCTTCGCGTCACGATTATTTGTCGCGCGTCACTTCTTAGTACGCATAGCACGCATGCCACGTTTCGTGGTCCCGTAGGGAGCTCCACCGGAGGCCCCAGTGACAGCGCCCTCATGGCCGCCCTGGCCCCACCCCGCTTCGTGACCCTATCAGGAGATCCACCGAAGCCGATAGTCGTAACGAAGGCACTCGCAACTGGTCCTTCGCCAGGGTAATGCTACACTGACGAGCATTGATTTGCGTTCAGTGCCTATTGTTGCAGGATGCTCTTTGCATTGGCTTCCACCGGTCTGCTTTGCAAAGCTTATCTCTGATTGACATTTATTTGCGCTGTGTTGCTCAATATTTCCCGACAGCTCGCACTGAGGAGTTCTCTCTTCGGTTTCTCAGGATTCGGCCCTGCTGGACGCAGTCGGCCTTTCCAAGTCGGTGCCTCATGGTTGGTGCCATGTGGCTCCCTGTCTGTGGTGCCCTGTGGGCCGCAGTCGACCGTTCCCGCTGGATGGCCTATCGCGGTTGGTGCTGTTCGATTCCTTGTGTATGGCTCTTCCTGCTCCTGCTCATGTGACTCATCCTGCCCCCTTGTCCCGTTGTCAGCTGGTCTCGGCTCGTCTTTCCTGTGGATCCTTGATTCTGGCTTGGCCTTGGGAGCCACGCGCAGTACAGCATGGAGGATTGCTACCTCTCGCCTCAAGGCTGTTGAGGCCATAGCCAAATCGAAATCTATAGTTCCTCTCTCTTCGCACCACGCATAAGA